GCCGTCCCAGGCCAATGGGGGCTGCAGGAAGCAGCAGCCAGCACATCCCTCAGCCCGTGCCACTTCTTACTATTATAATCAGTGTTTTTTAAGCTGCTGACTAGTCCCATTTCAAAGAGGAGTAGATCAAAGTGCATTAACTGTTAATATGCATCAGCAGGGTCCATGTGGACAATCCGTGCACAGCAGATTCACACCCTAGCTTGGTGTGTACTAACTGTGATTTTGCAAACTAATTTTTTGTGATATTGCAGTGTGCATTTTGATAGGCATATCTGATTCAGAAAACACAGAAATGTGTTGGGAGATGTACTAACCACAATTGTTTTGTTTGGTTTTAATGTATTTTGGCATCATGGCTTGCAAGCTGCATGCAGCTCTTTTACAGTTTAAATGTGTCTCATGGAGCCCCCCCACCTCCATCCCATTCTCCATCTATGAGACTGGGGTCGGGGGGAGCTCAGGGCTTCTGCCCTGCGACAGGTTGGTGATGTTAAGGGAGGGGAGTCTTGGGCCTTCAGCCCTGTTGGAGGTGCCTGCTGGAGCTAGGGGCTTCAGCAGAAGTGGGGCTGAGGCCCTGAGGCCTGGCTGGCGCACCCGACAGGGCAGAAACCCCAAGCCCTGGCAGGCATGCCCAGCAGGGCTGAAGCCCCGAGCCCTGGCACACCCAGCTCTTGAACTTCTGAAGATCATTGTATGCAGCTCGGAGGGTCAGTAAGTTTGGCCACCCCAATGTAATGCATTAGAAAATTATTTTTACCACTTTAACTTATAGAAGTGTACCAATGGCAGCATTCATATGGTGGGTTAGGGAATCCTGTCTCTCCCATCACTTTCAGCAATGATGGTCCTGCCTTTATCAGGTTTTTTCCTTTATATTCTGTGAAAACTGGAAGGTATAGAAATATTGAAATTATTAATTATTATTATTATTAAAATAAAATTCTAAAATATTTTGTGAAGCTGGCAGAAATGTCTAAACTTTTCATGAAAACATAGAATTTCTCCATGTTCTCTGATTCCTAATTTCTGTCACTTACAATCACATTGTGAATTTTCAAATGTTAGGAATAATTTTAAATAATCTGTTCCCCTCTCCCCCCCGAGGGTTTATGTAGCATACTAAGAAAAGAAAAGAAAAGAAAAAGTGCAACTAGAGTTAGAAGCAGGACTATTTTATGTACATTACCCAACAGATATTCTCCCTCTGTGTAATCCTGTCACATTTGTTTAATTACAAAAATAAGTTTTTTAAGACTTCTTACTTCCATCAGCTTTGCAGAGCTAATAGCTGCACTGCATCGTTAAGTGGGGGGAGGGGAGGCTGTTGTCCAGCTTGCTGAAGGAGAAGGAACAGTGTTACGGGTGGGAGGGGGAGAGGTGCTCAGAAGCTGCGGCAAAAGGGAATGGGTCTGCGTGGGGATGCTGACACATCCCTTGGGACCGGAAGGGCTGAGGAGTTTAAAAGGGGTAAGCCTGGCTGGGAGAACCCCTTTTGCCCAGGAGCAGGGGAAGCAGCGCTTGGTGTGGCAAAATATCAGATTTGGTCAGGACCTGCTGTGAGCATCACACTAGCTGCTCCTTTTTAGGGGGGCTGGGAAGGAATTTTTCCCTCACTACCCAATTAGCCTAGGTGGAGTGGGGGG